ATTGCATATGTGCCAAAGTATTAAATAACAATTTTGGCCAATTTACTCTTATGTTTATCATTTTATATTCACTTTCATTTGGACAACACTCCTTCATGAATAGGATCTCCTCGATAAAATTATTTACATAACTATTAAGAGAGATAGCAATTATGTTGTAGGCATAGTTAAGTTTGAATCATTTATATTTATCCTTATTTACGTCTATTTTTAATTATCTTACTCTTAATATAAATCATTTTATACTCACTCCTTAAAAAGAAATATAGCATTTAATTTTTTTCTATAATTTTTTTCTATATATTACACAAAATTTATTTGACATATACCGTTTAATTTTTTCGACAAACAACAATTCAAATGACAAACTCGTGCAACGCATGGGTCCTTTACCTAGTACAAAATAAAATTTATGAAAAATCTTAATATCATGTATGATGAGATATTCTTTTAAAGTATCCTTTTTTTTGAAAAAAAATTCTTTTAAGTATCTCACCATTAATAAAGATGCTCTATGAATATTTTAAGATAATAAAACAATAATTACGACTTGCTAAACCATGTATATCTAGGAGCAAATTCATGCACCGGTCCATGGGAACCACAGTGACCAACAACTTGAGCTGCAACCTCCCAAGCCAGTAATTTTTCACGACGGACGCTTCGTTAAGCGACCAACACCAGCCACGGCTCTCCTCATCCTCCTCTGGATGCCATTTGGAATCATCCTCGCCGCGATCCGAATCTGTATCCTCTACGTCCTCCCATTTTGGGCCATACCTTACGTCATCGGAATTTCAGGCATCCGAGTCACCGTCAAAGGAAAGCCTCCGCGGCTATCGGCGACCAGAAACTCCGGCCTACTCTTTGTATGTAACCACAAAACTTTTATAGACGGGATTGTGTTATCTTATGCACTTGGACGCAAGATCACGTCCACTTCCTTATGGCCCTTACCCGTTTCGTCGTTTTTATTGGATAAATGATCCGTTTCGTGGTTACAAAAGATTTTCTTCACAGTTCCCATAGTGTGGATTTTAGAAACCGAGATATAGACGCTGGAAAGATAAAAGAAGTTCTGTCTAAAGGTGATGTAGCTATATTTCCAGAAGGAGCAAGTTTTAATGAACCATTCTTGCTAAGATTCAACGCGCTTTTCGCTGAGTTAACCGATGAAATTGTGCCTGTGGCAATGAATGGAGGAACTGGTTTGACTGTTGATAGTAACGCCGGATTCTTCCGTGCCAAAACTAGAGGCTGGACTTGTCTTAATGTTTTCTTTTTTATGAACCCGACACTCGTATATGAGGTTACCTTCTTGGACCAGCTTCCGTTGGAGGAAAGTTGTTCATCCGGGAAAAGTCTGTATGATGTGGCGAACTATGTTCAGAGAATCTTGGCGGATACGTTAGGGTTCGAGTGCACTAACTCCACGAGGAAGGATAAGTACAAGCTTCTCACGTGAAAGGTGTGTGGTATAGTCGTTACTTCAAGATG